CTTGTTCAAAGGTCATCTATTTCAGAAATGCAATTTGAACGTTTTGTTTGGGTGAAATCCCACAATAGATTTCTGAAAATCATAATTTCCACCCTGGGTTTGTGATGTGATTTACTGTCAAGCTATAAGGTTTCAAACTAGATCTCAGAACAGGGTGTCAAGRGTGGCTTGTGTTCGTGTTGAAATGCATTTTGGAACCAATTTTGTTTTGTTTGAGGGAAAAGGCTGATTGGAAATAAAGCAGTATGAATGGTCTGGTTTCAGGATCAAATGATGGTCTCACTGAAGTAGAAAAGGAGACTAAAGGCTGTGACAGTAATAGGAATCCACTGAAGAATTTGGAAAGATGAGAAAACAAAGACTTGAAGGTGGAATTATTTACTGTATACTGAATATCCATGAAATATTCTTCTACTGTGGTGTGTTATGTGTAGATWCTGAAAATGCAGGAATTTTGTAAGTTAATAACTAGAGAGTGGTAAAAGAGTTCAATTTCACTTACATCTTTTCAACTGAACCTTATTCCTTTCTACTGCTTCGCCTAGAAAAGAGTAAAAGCATCATGYCTGTATCATGTTGTACTTTCAGAAGTATTATGTAGGTCATTMAAAAGGCCCTTTGGCCCAAACTTGTCACAGGCATACTTTTATATTTTGTATCAAAGTTTTCAGTAATATTTTCTTCATCTCAACTACTTCTTCAAAAGTTGACCCAGGCATATAATCAATACCACTGTAGTATTTAATATTTGAGATTTATCCATAGCTTGCTTTGCTGAATCTTAGCAGTCTTCTTAAGGTATAAAATTTTGTGTATCCCATTAACTTATTGCATTACATCATTGATAAGTTAGATCTAAGATTTTGGCATATTRTAAACAAAATCTCTTCTGAATTCTGTAGCTTCAGATGCGTTATGATTAAGTCTTATGTACTCTTTTCTTGTATTTTGTTATAGATTTGCATTATAGTACTATCAGATACCACATGGCAAAAAATCCTTTCTTCAGCAAGTTTGCAAGCTGCTACATTAGGACATTGAGTTCTGGCTCTAATAAAGATGACTAACTGAAATAGAAACTAGATCACAATTTCCACACTTAATAAGGCAGTAAGTCAGTTATTGCCATGGGACAGAGTTGAATTGTCATAACTGTTCCATAGGCATAAATCTTAGACTTGCACCAGATGCTTCACACTGTTCCTGCTGTGCAAAACAGCTGGAAATTCAGCTTAAAGGATTTCTTCTTAGAGAGAAACAATAGGTGGCATAGAGCTGAGATAACCTGAAATTGATGGGAAGCTGCATCCCAGCTACAGCATCGCTGTTGTGGTTTTAGGATGCATTTTGATCCTGGGGTTTCTGTTGTGATAGGTAAAACTGCAGTCAAGGCTCRGGAAGCAGTCTTACAAATTGATATAAGGAGGTGAAGCTGGTTATTTTTATGAATGCGCTTTGTCGCAGTAACTGTTGCTTTGCTGTCTTTTTCAGTTTTCAGGAGTATTTTTCTTGGCCCTGAGATGMAGTTTTGGGGTAACATTTTGCCTGGTAGTATGATCAGTTAAGACTCTCCACTCCTTTTTAAGCAGCTTTGAGAAGCTGCAGTAATGTGAAATGCAGATGAATCTGCTTATTTTGTATTCAGTAGGGAAGGATTAATTTGAAAAAATAGCAATTACATGGTGCATACCCATCTAGTTGATGAATTAGTTCTCCAATGGAGATGAAGTCTTGCAGAATTATTTTTCTGTAGAAAGAACAGATATGGTTAAAACACATTGGAAAATTCTTGCCATGAGACCCTTGTGAGTAAAATTGTTACTAAGCCAAGGCTGTCGGTGTTAATATTATTTCAAGCAATAAGAAGTTTGAATTAAAAACATGTAAGCTGTGAAACATGACAGTTCCCAGTAATTTCTCATATGATACTTTACTGTTTGTTAAATAACAAAAATTTTACTAGGCCATTTTGAGCATGAAGCTTGTTCTGAGCTTAAAGGTTGAGAAACATGTACTGCAGGATGGGTTCTGCAGAGGGTCTGAGCTGAATAAAACAGAAACAGCACCATCAGGGAGGCTTTGTTTRCACCCAAGAGTTTAACTGTTCCTGTAGCTAAAGCAATATAACTGAACGAGCAATGGAGAATGTGTTTATGGGAATGGGAATAAATTATAGTGCTGTAAGCTGTGTTCAGAAACTGCAATAAGGTTGTAGAGAGGAGCTGCGTTGCCAGAAGGAAAAATCACATCCCTCACTGGAATAATCATCTTGTACTTCTGTGTGAGGGCCAGGCCTAAATTAATTCCAGTTGTATTTCTGAGTTCTTAAATGAGAACGCTTCTGCAATAAAGGCTTTCTTTGGCTTTGGGAGGATTTGACACCGARAGGTGTTGAACATCTGCACCTTCACTGAAGTCTGTGCAGTTTAAGGTGCTGTAAGTCATCACAGTCTTGTGTTTCTGTCTTGGCTCTAAATCTTCTTGGAGTCAGTGGGAAAAGGTGCCTGGAGGACAGGAACTCTTAAGAGACCTTTGTTTGCCTGGTATATCTTGTTCTCTGACAAATCAGGTGCACAGTCAGTAGGAAGCAGTTTATCCTGAGAGCAGAAAAATGTGCCAAAGTGTGACCGTATGTGACAATCACGGAGGAGAGCTGAGACACAAATTCAAGTTCGGTTTTGTTCAGTAGTTTTATTTCTATTTTTTGCTTCCATGGTCCACACATAACTAACCCAAGATGACAAGCTGAAGCAAAGCACTACCACCTCTCTCTGGGGTCTCAAACCATTTGTTCTCCCTACTTCTGGATTCACTGGGCCCTGGATCAGACCCTAGGTTTGGACAGTCTGGTTTGAGACTATTTCTAACTTGCGTTTTCATTAATCTTTTAATGTATTCCACCTCATGAGACAAACGGTATATTGTTTGGTTGCTGCTTTCCATTTAGCAGCACCTCGGCTACTGCTGCCAGAGATAACCATGTGATGAAGAAAAAGGAAGAGAAAACTCAGTTCCACCAGGGGTTTCTGCACACATGCACATCGAGTAAGCAGAAGTTTAAAGTCAAGTCCAGCTTCAAAGTTAGGTTAGGTTGCTAAGGTCCTTTCCCAGTTGAGTTTTGAGTGTCTGCACTCGTGGAAGCTGTGAAACTCTTCAACCCCTGTTCTTGTYCTCAATATCAGAACAAACTCACACAGAAATTCTGGAGACAGCAAAGAGAAGTAAAAGCAGCCAAACTAAAAGAGTAAGGCAGGAGTACTTCTTTCAGTAGCAGAAGGAAGAAGTCACGGTTACAGACATTTCTAGAAGATGTGGTTTGGTGAGAACAGGCACTCGGTTAACTTCTCGGGAATTTTTGGGGGGGATTTTTTTTTTTTTTTCTGCACCACAGAGCAAAAATCTCCATACATGGCTGGGCTAAGATGTAACAGTTCCTTATTTTGGAATATTTCCCTATTTAAAATAGTGATATTTTACATGATGACAGATTAATTAGATTTAAATAACCCAGTCCTTGGGGAAAATAYTCCAAGATGAGGGAATACAGATGCTGCCTATTCACAATGTCTAAAAAATAATTAAAACAGAAAAGTCACAAAATGTTGGATTTGCACAGTGATGGGATTTTAGTCAGCTTGACTGAGGCTGTCTAGTTTTGTGGCAAAATCTGTGGTCAGCTGTTATAAATGCTCCTTCTGCCTCACTTTATGTGAACATTTKCAGCTGTTGAAGGAACAGGCATCTTTGTGCCTTAGTCAAACAATACGTAAATCACTCTAAAACAGATGATGTGCAAAAATCKGTGACAGAGCCGTGTGTTAATAGACTGACTTATGGAAGCAAGTGTGAGGGACCTTCTTTTTCATATTGATTGCCTCTTACAGTCATGAGCAAGTGGAACTCATTTAGTGGAATCCCTTGAGAGAGAAAAAGTAAAAATCACACCTGGTTTCAGTTTCTTGTCTACGTGGAAGTTGTATTCATGTCGTTTAGAAAGATCCTCTGAACCAATGTTCAACGATTTTTCAGCAAGTGCCATGCATACCAAAATTTCTTAAGAGGACTGTGCCACCCTGCTTTTGCTTAATTCATTACAGAATGAACTCACATTATGTATTATTTAAATGTGTAASTTGACACAATTTATAGGATTTAGAATTGAGAGGAATATGAATTATGCAACAGAAACCTTTCAGCGTGCTTCAGAGTTGAACATTTTTAATGCAAAATGAAGATGCACACTAAAAACCAAAAGGACTTGGTGGGTAGTTAGATAAATGAGCAGACCATCACACCCATTTGCCCTGCTCTCAGCAGCGAGTTTAGTGAAGATCTCTCTGCAAAGTAGGGAAAGTAGATGTGAACTGAGCTGGAGATTCCTGATGGTGCTTTTGAGTGACTGTTTTCTGATGAAACAGATTTGGGTAACACATAGTGAAGCTACCCTTTAGTGTGGCTGTGGCTCTCTCAAATTTAATTTGAACACAGCTTGACAAAAAGGTACAGATACTACATGAAATACAGAGTTTTGATGGGAGGAAGGAGCCCAAGACATCCAGAGCCTTTGCTGGAACTGACAGAAATGTACAGTAATGAGCAAGGCCTCCTGCTGAGTYGGGAGTCAAACACAAAAATGAGACAGAGGGAGAACTGGGCTTTACTAGTTCTCTAGGTGTTCAAAGAGTGACCTTTTTGTTCTAATCAGAAGTACAAATATTGTGATATGTTACTCTAAAGGGAATACAATGCAGCCTTGATACTGCTTTTAAGAATGCTGAAATCAGGATGTGCCAATTTAGCAAAGTAAGCTTTCAAAATGGGCATGACGCTTTTTATTTTCAGCRAAGCACTTCAAAAGCCATCAAAATAGATGTTACCTTCTGTTCTGGAAACTGTCAGGAACTTATAAATAAGCATAAAATAATACAGGAGCAGAAAAAAATGTTGTGCCAGCAGTTAATGTTGTTGTTTCTAATTTTGTTGTTTTTTTTCTTTTACAGTGTGTCCTATTCAGTACATGTCTCTGAGGACTACCCAGGTACGGTGCAGCCTTCTTGTCCATGACACATGTATACATGTTACCATAATTTGCTATATTCAAATGGGAGTATCTGAAAGGGTGTTGATGTCTTCCACGTGCATCTTGTGCTGATCATTTTCCATTAGTTTAGATTATTTTCATAGTCGTTTCTCCTTTCCAGGCATCATTTATCAGCTGGGTCAGGGTGAGAACACAGGTTCACAGGTTTAGCTAGATGGCAGCTCGGGGTGCTTTCGGTGTGTGGAGCCAATAGCAATAGGAGTGAGAAAGTGCCCAGCTTCTCTTTGGCATGGCAGACRAAGGTTGGTCCTTGTGGAGCCTGAGCAGCTGACACGGGGCCAGCAGAGCACTTGTGCCTCGGAGCTGAATGAGGCCACTCATGTTCCCGAATCAGCCTGCAAATTCTGCTGCAGTGCCTCCCTGGGTCAGTCAGAGACAAGTGCTCGTGCTTGGGGTTTTGGAGTGCTGGCTTGCAAAGCTGCTCCCAGCTCTCAGTCCCACTGCCCTTTCGTTCTTCAAGCTGGGCCAGCAAAAGTAYTTTTGTAACCATGTGGCCAGTCTCAACCGGGGTGTTATTTGTAGGAAAGAGAAGTAGGTAAGGACAAAAGCAAGTTTTCAGCGAGGTTATTTCCCTGGTTTCCTTCACTCAAAGAGAGTGCACAGATATTTCAGGTGGCACAGAGGCAGAAGGGGGAAGCAGGGATGAYAGGTGCTGTGCAAGTAAAGGTTCATGGTAGCACTGTTGGGCTGCACCACATTGTGCACCTGTGATTATTTAATGGTGTAAGTACTGGGAATGATATGAAACCCTCTGTCCTTTTTTGATCTTTATCTGATCAGCTTCTCTGAAATGTGTCTCAGAGCAATATATCTTGTTTCTTTTAGAAGYTCGAAAGAAGTGTGACTTTGATCTTCTTCATTGATAAGCAGCAGACTCTGATCAAAACACTAGTGTTTGAAGCAGATAGAGAAAAAATCAACAGTGRTGCTAAAAAAAATGGATTCTGAGAAAGAATGCTAACAACCTTATTAGATTTATTTTTTTAACCAGCAAAAATTGGAGAGGCGAATGCTAGTGATATTAGTCAATTCAACATTTAGAAATGAGWGAAACTGAGATTCATAAAATGCACAATCATACCAGTGATAAATTGATTTACTGATGCCTGCATTAAGCTGACAATGAATGGAGGGACAAATGGCTGCAAAAAATCTTCACCATGTGTTATTATTGGTTTCTTCCATTAAAGATCATAAAATTTAATCTCTGGGAACCTCTAAGTAAATGGTAAGCTGGAGCACTGAACCAGCAGCAGTTACTTGCACAGCACATGATATCTCATTTCCTGGCAAACTCTTATTTCTGATAGACCTCAGAATTTCCTTGTGGCTGTTCTTTTCAGCATGTCCTGATGGTCTACAAGCCTGAGTGACTTTAGTGTCCCTAAACCTGATGAATATTCTGTGCCATCACTCCCTATATTTTAAAGGCAGATTGCATTTGAACCTTTCACACTGTAGTTAGCTTGGAGCAAGGAGTAAACCAGCACAAGTTTACTGATTAAAATGCAGCCCTTCAGGGTGTTAGAAGACCTGATTTCGTTCACATCTTAAGCTTTTCCAGGATATATGTGTGCTTTATGATGAAGAGATGTTCAGTGTGTTAGCAATGATAATGACTTTTTCCCATTTTGCAGCTTTGATCATAAAACACTCATTTTGACTTGGTGAGCCAGATTCTTTGTTCTCCTGTTTTTACCCTAAATTTCTAACTTAACGTTACTGCTGACTGTGGCTCCCTTTTCTGACATATATCTTAGGGGATGTTTCAGGGACATGTCAGGGTGTGATGGTGTCAAGTCTGGCAAGCTCGGTGCTGATGTCCTTGACTGGAAGGTCTTCGTCAAGTACTGCTGCAAGTTCAGAGCAGCACGTGCCCTCAAATTAAGTTTCTCACAGGGTAAATCTTTATSAATTAAGATTTAGGTCCATTAGTGTGTAGCTATACCAAACTTGTATCCTGTGTAGATTAAGGGTGTGTAATAGAGAGTGGATYAAATCTGTAAATCCTGGACAAGGCTGTCAGAGTTGATCATCAGATAAATTGCTAATACATGCCATAAATATTTGAAAATAGAAGAGATTAAGTGACTATGCAAGTGATGTAATTCAGCTAAAAAGATACCACYGAAAGTAAATTTTAGATACTATAAGAAGAGGGTTGTACAGCGTGCTTACTCCCACAGCCTGCATTGCTGTATTTTATGCAGCATCACCASTTTGGTGCTGATAACTGTGTGTGGCTGTTACTGAATTACTTCCTTAAGCATCAAATACAAGTAGYTGAGCATTAAATCGTACCTATGGAAACCGTAATGTGACATGACARCTTTCAATAATGGAAGGTGTTTGAAAGTTTCATAATTATGAGTGAAAGTTAAAAATGTGCTTGCAAAGGAACGCTGAGAGCTTAACAGGAGTAGTGTTGAGACAGTAATGTCTGTAAGTTACATACCCACTGCTGAAGTTGTGAAAACATAACTGAAAAGTTTACAAGAGGATAATAACAGTTTCAGCAAAAYATTGCTGTAACAATTTCCTCATAGCCTTGACACAACTGGGGAAAATAATCTTTCTAAGGAGCATATAGAATATAACATCAATGAGTAGACTGAAGTTCCACTAATATGAGTGTATCATGACTMCTGTGAGAACCATCAGAGCAGCAAGCATTTTGCTAATGAATTTATGTTCAGAATGATTTGTGCTGGCTGACAGAAACTTGTAGAACTGCCGTAGTCTTTTATCCCAGTGATTTGTTGGTTACACACCTGTTAGCAGAAACATGTTTTTCTTAGACCTCRTTAGATGGTAGCAGTGAGGAGAGAACCACTTTGAAAGCAATTATTTTGCTGCATTCCTCTGCTAGGTCCAGGCACTAGGTCCTCCACTGATGAGGGGAGGTGTTCCTAGGAGTCATGTGTTAGAAACTGGTTGTTGAAGAGAACAAATCAAAGCCAATATCTTAATCTCAAGTCTCATCAGACTGATGGAAGAAAAAAAAAAGCCCTAATAGCTGCCAAATAGCAAAGGAAAAAAAAAAAAACAAAAAAAAACCAAAACCAACTTGGCAGTGAAAGTCATATTATCCAGCTGGTAAGAAAGAATGAAAATGGACATAAAAATATAATTAAAATCTATAAAACCTATAGCTGAGAAGTCCTTTCCATATATGTATGTCTGTTCTGTACAGAACATGCTGGTTTTCCTAGTTTTCTGTACAGCAATAAACTGTAGCACAAGAATTTCCTTTCTCCCTTCCATGTTTGTGGTGTTAGGTATGTTTAGAGCCAAGTGATGGCCTCAGTTATCTCAGCTCAGTAGACTCTGTGGCAGCAACTTACCGTCGCTCTTTCTGCTCTAGAGCACMAGTTTCAGTTCAGCCCAGATCATTAGAAAACAAAGTACCATTACTTTCATAGGCAGTTCAGCAATACATGCAAAATTAGTTTCTGCAGGTAGTACACCAAACTGTGCTGCTTCTTGGTTTTTGTTAGTAAGCATTTGGTTAAGAAGAAAAAAAGAAAAAGAAAAAAAGAAACCAAACCAAAAAAAAAAAAAAAAGCCAACAGACACATTCCTCTTCCTAATCCTTCAATTTTGAAAAGAAATTTTGTGCAATAGAGTTACCATATTCAAATCCATGCCAAATTTTTTGTTAAGTGGGAGAATTTCTTTTCTCCCTGACTTAGGCACAAGAAAGGTTAATCCACTGATTAGAAGACACTTCAAATAACCTTTTATGTGATTAGGCAAAATGAGGCACAGGTATTTTGCATAATTGGCTGCTAACAYCCAGCTCTCAGTACAGCTTTCACTCTGCATAGGAGATCTAGCTTGAGTTTTAGTGTCAGATGTCGAAAAAATCATAGAACAAGTATTAATTTTGGAAAAGATTGTCCACTCTAAGCGTTGTGGGTTGGTTCAGAGCAGTGCTTGTGTGATTCACAAAAGCCATGACATCAAACTCCAAGGTTTTGCTTTATAAAGCGTGGGTCGGAATCTCCCRTACTTGCAGTATTTTTTCTTTTCATGCACAATCTCAAGGGGAAAAAAGCCAAACGCTTCAGGAAGATGGTGGTGCTGAGCTTCCCTAAACATCTGTGGTGTGGTTCCTTGTGGTACAAGTGTGGGACAGAAAGCGTTGGAAGGGGCTGGCAAAGCACAATGGAACTTCACCATGCAAAGTGTTTTTCTTTTGCAGATAACACTTACGTTTCCAGTTCTGATAACGATGAAGATGTGTTAGTTACAACAGAGCCAATTCCAGTAATTTTCCACCAAATTGCTACAGGTAATCCTATGTTTGGAGAGTTTTATCAGGTTCATAATTTTGGAGGAAAGATGTTGTCTGCACTTAAAGGGAGATGTACTAAAGTGTTTGGGTTTACAGTTWGCTATTTTCTCGCAGTCTTGTTCTAGTAAATTGTCCTACATTTCAGAATAGAAGAAATTAAAGTATTTCTTCTGGGGATCACCGCAATTGTGTGCAGAGCATATTTTTTTCTTTTAATGTCTTGCAGCCTGTACTAGATCAATTCCCCTTGAATTAGTAATTTTCAATTACAAGTTTTCATGATCACTTGCTTAAAATTTCACTGAATCTTCACCATTGCAGACGAAACAGTCTATAACTACTGCTGCCTCTGGTGAATTATTTCAGGAAATTTCAAACAAAATGGTTTCAGTAAATTCAGCTATAGAAAAATGATTTATTTTTTCCCAGTGATTTTGGGCACCTCTCATTTTGAATCATTTCCTTATTTTCAAAAAGTACTTGACACCTGAAAGGATGTGCCTGTCAGACATACAGGCACATTTACACTGTATTTAACAAAGATTTGTGCATTCTCCATAGAGACCTTTTCGATTCTAGCAGACTAGGTTCTCTGATTTTTTCAGGCTGCAGGAGAAACTTCACAAAACACTCTTAATTCTGGCAGCTCCTCAGATACGAACACTTGACTTTGTAATTTTTTATTATTATTATCATTCTTTAGGTGGTTTTTTGCATARAAGAATTACATTGAATTCCATTGGAAGACCAGTATGATCTTCAGTCTCTGATCTCATTCATACTGATGTAAATTAAGAGTAATTTACTGCAGTTGTTACAGTAGCACACAAACAAAATCTTACTATTATCATCAGAAGTTTGAGATAAATTTTACTTGCAAATATTTCTTAATTTGAAAAGAAATGAAACCTTTAATTTACAATATRGTAAGAACCTATCTTTTATATGGAAGGTTTTCTTTTCCTGAGGGGTTTTGATTTTTCTTTCTTTTATGAATTATACAAAATTAATGAATGACACTAAATTGTAAATYATGAATTGGGAAAAATAAATGTCCTAGATGAATCAGCTGAGTTTCAATTCATACTTTAAAGTCCTCTGGGAAGTAGGGTCTTCCTAATTTGAGACTGTTGCATTGTCAACTCTTTGATGCATTTCATATCTGTAACTTTTTGTTCCTTATTTGCTCTGCTACTGCAACTAAGAATTTGAAGTCTGCATATGCAAAACTATTTCACTTTTTTTCACATGTTCTCCATTTTCTTTTTTTTTTTTTTTTTTAAGAATTAAGAAAAACCAGTGATGTAAACTATTGCCTATCCATAAAGTCAAAATTACAGAGGGAGAATGGAGAGGTATGTATTTCTTGTATGCATGTTTTAACAGAATTTATTTTAAGACGCAAGAGAAAGTAATAAAATAATAACGTTTACCATAGACTTCCTATCAAAAKGTGCTTATTCAGTCTGTGCATGTTTACGTGTTTTAAAAGGTGAGCATATTTCTCTGGGTTGTGATTCACTTAGTTGAGACAGTGATTCTCYTCTCATCTGAAGAAATATGTTTTTGGCATTTTGTTTCCTCTTTTGTTCAATATTATTATAGACCCTGTCAGCCCTAAATAATGCAGCTCTCCTAGAGAGGCAAATAATGATTCCATCACCTTTTAACCTGCTCTGGCACRTAAGACCACGTCTCAATTGTTTAGCTCAGTGCTGCTTCACGCAGCCTGCAGCAATCCCACTGCAAATTCTCTGCATGGCCCTTCTCACCATAAGCAGGGTCTGGAGTGTCAGGGTCTCCCAGTCGTGGTGGATTTGTCCTGTGCCTCTGGCACACGTCTCTGACCAGTCTCACTGGGACATTAAGAAASAAGTGGCACTGAGGTGAAATTTACAGAGCGTGACAGTGTTCTGGCCTCAGAGAAGGTGCCACATAGGCAAGAAATTAAATGGTCTCAGGATTTCAGGTGCTTGATTTAAAGACTTCCTTTGGTAAGGGTGGGTGCTGAGTTTCTTCATCCTAGAAACAGGAGATAAGCCTGCCTAGATGCTACRTGTACCAGGATTTTTTTAGAAAATGAAACCCCATTTGATGTGAAAAACTGCACTGAAAATACTTTGGTTCTACTGCCTCATCATTATATTCACTGCTCAGTGTACGTAAGAAAAACAAGTGTGGGAAGAATTTACCCATTTTATTAAGAGCCTCAGATATAGTTAGCTTCTGTGGGACTGAGCTTGTATTGAGCTTGTATTTTGTTTTTGGTTGAATCAGGTACTTAAGTGTGAAAATACTGAAAGAAACCCTCTATAAAAAGTCTCTGATGCTGATAATTTCTGTTGGCTAGGCCATTAAAGATTTGGTAAGGATTTGTCACTATTCTAATGTAAGAGTTTAATTTATTCTTTTTGTGTGGAATTTTTATTCAGTTCATTTCTGTATTGAAGCAGCCTTCTTTCTGAAGGAATTTTATTATAAAAACACAGAAGACTAAAATAATTTTACTTATTTTTAGTAAAGTAGGAGCAGAAATTACTTTCATAGCTTGTCAAAAGTTGCCATGAGATTGGATGAAACACAGTTTTTACGCTGTAGGAATACACTGAATAGAGCAAGAATTTAAAAGCAGAGGTTAAAAAATGAGGATAGAATGTCTGACCATATAAATTGGTGATAATTTTATATACATATTGACATTAATGGCTGTGAAATTTAGGAGTAACATCTATTTTTGATTCATATACCTGATTTCTATTCCATGAAGACAGGTTTGTGTAGGACACAATTAAAAAAGGGTTGATACATTATATTCAGGTTGAATTGAAGAATTACAGTTTTAACAGGTGTTCTTTAAGGGCTTCTAGTCAGCAAAGGGCATAGAAATAACACATGTATTGTGGAAAACAAGAGTTTCTCTCTCAAGCAATTATATAAGTAAAGGTTCCAGTAGTGGGAAACAGAATACAGTGTTTCACCTCATGCTGTTTGTACCAGGATCAGTTCTGTGTATTTAATGATATTATTCACAAAGCAGACTATTTAGAACAGGTTGGGTTTTTTTTGTTTTTTTGTTTTTTTTTTACTTAGATAAGCACAGGTCTTTCTAATCCTTACTTTTCACTGTGTCAGACCAGAAAATTAAGTTTGAGCTTTTCTGGCATCAGGATGGAACTTACGATATAAATAATAATTAAGCAGCAGTGTGTCAGTTTTTCACAGAAGGAAACATTATATATTCCATGCTTGGATGTGGATTATTTCCCCATACTATTAGAGTTTATTTAAAAGAATAAAAAGTAGAATAAAATTGTAGTAGCTTGCTGACACACCAAAAGATCTATGTCCAGAACCATTCTTGGTGGGAAAGTTATGCTTTGTTTAGCAAAAGCACAGAGTGAAGTGTCCCCACACAGTCTGTGTAATTAACCAGTTCTTTAAAATACCATGCTGTGTTTGTAAACACACAAGTATTATTTTTCGAACATATATTCAAGGTGTTTTTATGTACCCTGTATTAGGTACTTGTTTCATCTGATATTTCACTGTTCTTAAAATGAGTCCTCTGTAAAAATGATATCGAAAGATCTCTGAAGAAAGGATGATATGAGCTTACTTGTAAAAACATAATTCCTGCAGTTACMCTTAGAGTGATAAATGCAAGGTCAACATACTGCTTTTACCACTGCTAACGTTCCTTTTCCATTAAGGAGTCACGGCACAACAGCGCAGTTGAAGAAGACTCKGAAGGAGATAATGACTCTGAGGAATTCTATTATGGAGGACAGGTAATGCAAGAATTTTTTTTCACAAGTTCCAAGAAAGTAATATTTGAGAGTTCTTACGTTTGTTCCATTATAAATTTATGATACTATTTAATTTCTTCGGTTTTTTTAACATTGAGTAGAGTGGCAGGTGTATATATACATRGCATTTTATAGCAGAAATAGTGAATATGTTAGAAGTTATAATTAAGTCAAATTCAAAGATTACTTTGTTTACATCTGCAAAGCTATAAGAATGGAAAAAGCAGATACCCTTCAGAAAGCTTGAAAATAGAAGCTGGTTGCTTACTTCCAGGAAACAGATAACTGACTCTGTAAAGCTTATCCCATTATTGATCCAAATGGGAACTCAAGCTGGATCCAAATCTGTTTTCTGCTGGAGGAYTGCCATTTTTTAAAGTAAAGAGCACTGCATTTTTATGGTGAAAATAGTTATTACAAAGCAATTTTGGTCTAGGCAGTAGTCCATTCTTTTTCTGAGCTCTAGAGTAAAATTCACCTTGAAAAATGCTGCATGTTTTAGATTATTGTACTGCCCTGTGTCTTTCCTTCTTGTTTCTTCAGCAGAATTAATTCTTACGTCTCATGTGCATTGGGAAATAAAATCTTTTCATGCCTTTTCCTTTTACAACGTGCTTCACGCCGCTAGTCTCTTTATTCAGATTTTTCTTGTTTTTTTAGTCTAAATATCACCCCAAGGAATTATTCCTCGCTTGCATTATTAGAACTGTTTATTTCGATGAACATTTTAGTGAATTACGGTGTCTGTTTATGAAAGTTGTCCCTCGCCTCTCTGTGCCCTGGGTGCAGAGCCAAGGCTGCAGGAGCACGCCCACAGTGCCAGCAGGGTGGGTCGGTGCAGAGAGCGTGGGATGCTGACCAGCAGGACATCGCTGAGCCTGTCCTCTTGCAGAGCCAACAGTGCAGTGGGGTTCGAATGCAAAATCCATGTGGAGGGGCTTTACAGTTAAAAAATCAACCAGAAACACACCAAACAAACATCAAAACAAACAAACAAACCCCCTGAAATGCTATTGAAAGTTGTATTGAGACTGGAAGTGAAACAATGTGTTTTCATTGTCTGGAATAGCTGACATGGGGAATTGACTCATGTTCGCTTTGGAAATGACTGCAGGAATTGCCTCCCTTCAGCACCGGCTCCTGCAGCCCCATGCTGGGGAGTGCTGGGGAGGACCATACACATAATTCACTGCAGAGAGCGATGCCTCATTTTAATCCGCCTGAGAGGAACAAGCTTCTGATCTTGTCCTGTAGTGATGAGTCGCATGTACTGCCTTCATTTTTCAACTYTGAAGAAAGGGCAGTAACCTCAAGGTGAAGGAAAAGGCAGAAAACAGCTGGGAGTGCTTACTTCTTGAACCAGAGCTAATACATTTGGTAAAAGATGCCTGGCAGTGCCCAAATGAATGAATAAATATTAACGCTTCCTGTGAGATATGAACGCTGATAGCAGTACATCATTTTGCAAGGTGTAAAAGAGCTGTGCAATAGACCAGACTGGTTAGAATTTAAGTGCCTTATATTAAAATGGAAACTAGATTATATTGCATTGTCTTCTCTTTAAGGTAATAGATTTAACTGAAAGTAGATTAACTGGCAAAAAAAAAAATTATGTCTTCAATGAAAATAAAATGTCAGTTGATTAAAATGTCTTGAATATAGAATATTCAAAATGCAAAATATGGAGAACAAAAAAAAAACTTTAAAAAGGCATCACAAAAAGTCTATTTAAAAGGGGAAAAAAATACATGTTTAATTTAAAATTTCATGGTCAAAAAGACAAGAGTCTAAAGAAGACATTTAGAGCTAAAAAGTAATRCTGAGGACTCAGAAAAGGAATAGGRAATCATGTAATGAGCCAAGTCCCTTGAAAGACAGAAAAGAACAACCCTTTTTCAAGCAAAGTGTTTGTAGGGGTTGTTAAGTGGGCAGCAGGTGTGCTGGGGAGACAAAAGGTTTGACTGTATGTGTGGGGGATGAGCGAGGCCAGCTCCTTTGTTTGAGACAAGTGTGTGCTCTGCCCCCGAGAGAGGGGACAGAAATAGTGACCTTGGCAAATAGAGGGACGAGATGCCAGTGCTGCTGTGTGCRGTGCATTTGGGAAAGGTAGAGGTCAGGGAAATCCTCAGCATTACCAAGTGGTTACAGCTGGAAAAACAAGAGAGCTGCTGCTGATGAAACAAGGACCATGGGAGGTGGGAAATGGTGTTTGATGGGCAGTGAAAAGAAGATGCAACCTCTTGCTTGTAAATTAAATGTTATCCACTTCCTAGGCACCTGCTTGTAATCCTCCCTAAGGATTGAATGGATAAATACTTTAAAGTAGCTAAGTGGTTCAATAGTCTAAGACCTATTGATTTTCAATGGGATTTAGGTTTGTAAATCACTTAATCTCCTTTTGAAAAGCAACCTTTTGTCAAATAATCTGAATAAGGTCTCAGATTAAAACTGGAGACTTTCTAAACACAGACCTTTCAGTCACAGTGAAGTTATCAGGTTTTTTTTAGCTTTTGTGTTCACTTTTTCTGGAAGTCTGCTAATTCTGGCTTTGAATCTCTAGCTTCTGCATTTGCAAATAGGAACAGAAGATGAAAACAGAAATACCACTGCCTTTGGCTCTCTCTATGCTTGTCTCTTGTGTTTCAGCTACAGGACATACTTGAAAATGCAGAAATACAAAACTGACAGTCTCCTCTGTGCACATCAATATGTCTGTGGCACTAATTCAGGGGTGGGAAGTACCATACTGTTGGTCTTAAATTTGCCAGAGCACTGCTTTGTTTCCTTTTTAAGTTCATAGCCTCTTACCATGAGAAAATAAATTAGAAAAAGCATTATGTTGAGCAGTTTAGTGTTCTGCATAGTGTTCCTTTTGTATTTTACTAGTATTGAAACATAACAGTGATTTAAAAATCTGGTTTAGCACCAACAAAGGTGGCAAGTGCACCACAGCTATGATTTGTGAAATGATTGCTGTGCACTCTTTGGAAGCAGGACAGCAATTATTTACGCATCTTTAAAGAATTCTTCTTTGAGTAATGAGCATGTAAAAAGGATTGGTTTCCCCCTACCTAAAGTGAAAAAAATTACAATAAAGATATTCTTTCCATGGTCTTCTACTTGGAAAATTTTTCTGACATCATTGTCCAGACGAAGGAAAGATACTTGTTTTATAACATTCTGGTCATGAATGTCATTGATATCTCAGAAAAATACATTCCCATGCTATGGTGGTGAATTCTGTGCCTTATTCTTAAAGAATTCTAGGTCTAAGTCTAATCAAATTACTCTCTGCTAATTTTCACATGTAAAAAAGGGATAATTTGATTATTATTTTAATGCTATTGAAAATTAATTAAATTGAAAAGCATGTCTCCAAATATCAGAGTTGAAAGTGTCACTTGTGTCTAACATGTTTGGATGTATAAATGGAAGAAGCAGTGCTGCAATTAGATGTGTCTCTGCAATAATAAGAATTCTCTGCAGGAGTTCTTGTATAAGGATATATATATATATATGAGTGGCTCTAAAGGCATAAATTATATTYTATTTCTTTGCTCTCTGAATTTGTCAGAGATACAGACTAAATCCTACACTCATTTCTGAATCTGTCTAAATCTAGGGAGTTCATTGACTTCTGTGGAATTACCATCATTCTAATTGTTGTAAATGTGTAGATTTGGGTTTGTGCAATCAGGACACTTTGTACATTTTGCTGGAGAAGAAGGTAACAATTGACAGATGATGAATACATTGTTACATGCCCAAACAGGCATTTTGGATCTTGTAGAAGAATTCTGTTATTTTGATTACATACAGCCCAACCAAAGGAGCCAAGTTTTGGTTTGTAGCTTAAGCACTAACATAATACATTCAATTTTTCATGTAGAGTTAGAAAAAAAAAAAAAAAGGGGTAGTGTTGAGGCAGATGTTTCTTTATACCTTCTTTCATAAAATACTTAACATGGGAAGGTGTTCTTTTAATTTTTTTATGTTTTTGTCTCTTATTATTGCACTAGTGGGTAGAATGCCACCAGTGAGTAAATAGAAAATGTAATTTAGGTGCTGAGGKGATAGGTATAGAGAATAGTTTCATGCTTCTCTTGTGCCCAAACCATTCTGTGTCTAGTATATTTGTGAGTGTGAGAGCAAAGAAGAGTGAGCAACCATTGTCCTGGAGTAGTTGGACTAGGATGACAACATCAGGGAGATCTGGTTCTTATCCTACTTAATGTTTTAAAAATACACAAGAGTCCCAGAACAAACCCGGGGACAAAATAGGGCAGTTAAGTCCTTTGCAATTTTTCTCCCCACAAACTGGGGAACCCTCAAAACATTCCAAGRCAGAGGTGCCTGCTTTGAAAATCTGCTACTTGGCAGATAAGATGGCCTCAGTGCTTCGACTTGTCCTTCCTGAATRTGGCATTAAGGAATCTTAATGCAACATACTTTGCAGAGAGAACTTTCAGGTGGCAGAAATTACAGAACTCCTGAGATATTTTTCRTTCCCCAACAGGTTAGCTATGATGGAGAACTTCACAAGCACCCACAGCTGGAGGCAGATTTGACAGCAGTAAGAGAGATCTATGGACCTAATGCAGTATCTCTCAGGTATGTCACTGGCTTTTCTGTACTGTTGAATCTTAAATATTTTGGAGACTGTGTTCATTAAGGACTTTCCCTGACTTCCAAAGCACTGGTTTCTCCATGTTGTATCACAAAAGGAGGGAAGTGCTGCAAGCTAGCATCAATGCTGKGTTTTTGGGTTTTTTCTGTGGTTTAGTTTGGGCACAAGTAGCTGTACTGAGAATAGCCCTGTTCTGAAACATCACTGTCTTTTGCAGTTGTAGTCAGGCAGTTGTGTTTTGTTGTAAATTACTTTTCAACATTTCTCTAAACCCTTGTTAAACTCCTTTTCTGTATTTTGCCCTGGAGGTGAACAAGAAGAATGGTAAGGGATTTAATAAATACTTTCCCTAGGGAAGGACTGAAGAAATTGGATTTGTCTAGTCTAGAAGCAAAAGAGAGGGAGATGACACAATAACAGTTTTTCTTCTTCAAAAAAGCTGTTTGTAGGTAGAAGGAGTGATCAGATATTCTGTATTGTCATCATGAGACAGTAAGAAACTAAGGCTTGATCAGAGAATAGGGAGGATTTCTAATTGTGAGAATCTGAAGTATCCTACAGAGAGAAGTAGTGGAACTTCAGTCGGATGTGAATTACGAAGGGAAATTACACAAAATTTCTACTGGGCATATATGAGCACACATGATTCTGCCATAATGCATGTCTGTGTCATATATGTATTTTAATTCATATATGTATTTATTAATTCAGGTATTTTACAACCTAATTTTCCATCTATTCAATCTTAATAATTTAACAAAAAATAAAAGATAAGATGTAACAGATGTGTTGTAGGGAAAATATCAAAGTTGTCAGACAAACCAAGTCAGAAGAAGAGAGAGCATGCCTACAGCAWTGATGTACTGTACCTTTTCAAATTAAATGGAAATTTATTGCACTGCAAGAATCTGGGGAACTGAAATCTGAATAGTGGTATATAGGTTTAGGAAATGAAGGAGATTAAGTCTTTAGTTGCCAAACTGATAACTATGAAATTGAGAATACCCTCAGAATAGATTTCTTCAAGCTCCTAAAATTGAAACATTTCTATGTAACCTTTCAAAAACTTTAATGCATATAGTTTGTATTCAGTCAGCTGTTTCGATGGAAACACTGTGATCCCCTTGAGCTCACTATAGTAGAAACTGGCACCTGTGGCTGCTTTTGGCATGTGTAAAACTTCCAAGCCTCATCCACTCTATTGCAGCTGAAAATACTTATAAATTCTTGGAAATAAACCCCACAGCTTTAAGCATTCATTTTCATCCCTCTTGTGTAGCTCCACTTCTCTGAGGAGAGAGAAGTTGGTCTGACAAGCACATCCATAAAGAGATATATTTCCGAGACAATTGACCCTCCTTTCAGTAATCCCTTGCTGTCACAGAGTCAGTTGTACATRCAGAAATAAAGTTCCTGCACCTGCATGCTTTTCACAACTGCCCTTAGAAATCTGGCCACAAAAGCCCGAGAAAGTGATCCATCCAACTGCTGCAAACTCTTCAGTATCTCCTTATATTGCTTCTTCATTTGTGGACAGAGGGCCTCTGGGAGCTTCAAAGTCAAAATGTGTTGATGAAGCCATTATAGACAGCAGATCAGAGATGCACATGTTGGAATAAAACACGATCTCCTCCTCACTATCAGCTTGGGAAATTAAAAACTAGGGTCAGCATCATGTGTCTAAAATCCATCCTCTAGGATGGTAGTGAAGTGGGGGCAAAGAGATTTCAGTGAGTATGAAAATATCATAGCTAAAACTAATTTTTATCTTATTCTTTCTTCCACTATTATTTCTTTTTCACTAGCTTAACCATTCCTCTGTTTAATTTTTAAAATCATTCTTGTTTACAGCCTTTTGAATCTCGGTTATGAGAGTAAAACTAGCCTGCATTCAAAAAAACAGACTAGCATAAAAACCAGCCTGCATAAAAAATTGCTTAAGATAGCATAACAATGTTTGGATCTTCTGGAAAGTGAACAAAAAACCCCATTGCCCCTGTTATGGTGGCAGCCATTCAGCAGGTGGAGAGTTTCACTGCTCCAGATCCATGTTTTCAGTGAGCTGTAGGAGGTCAGCRAGGTCAGCCTGTACAGTGTGGGTGAGGTGACACTGGAGCAGCTCTGAAGGTGGCTGGGAAGTCCTGTTATACATCCCTGTCCTGCCTTTCAGCTGTCCTGTGTGGGCCACCTGTGCACATGATCTAGAGAGACACCTTGGCTTTGCCCTGACCAGAGAGAGCCATTGGGTTGCTGAGGTCTGGTTGAAGGGGTTCCTTTCTCCAAACTTTGCAAGAGCTCAAGCAATTTCAGTTCAAACTGAGCCCTGTCACGGCTGAGAGTTCACTTTGCTAGCAGAYAGTTACATTTCAGTATTTCAGAATTGCCTTATTGACTTATCCATGCACAACTGCTACCACACAYTTAGTCAGGTTTAATGGAAAAACGTGGAAGTCACTGTGAGAACAAGCACAAAAATGCAGTGTARAGTTAAAAACACTCTAGTGACTGGAAGCTAATTTGTGAAAAAYTGAGAGCATTGTCCACTTAAGTAATTTAAATGAAAACAAAACCAGGTCTTTTTGTTTAGATGTTTGTGKACATATTTTCTAGCTCCATTTTTCAGAAGTCTGCAAGTATGTTGGGAGAGGGCAATCAGAGTGWGTCAGAAAGTAAGAGGTAGAAAAATCACAGTTTAAAAGTAAGATTTCAGATGGCAATGGAATACCTGTTAAATCCAAATCTTGCAATACTGCACATGACAGATAAAAAGGATAAGTATTGCCTTGAGCACATTACAGGRCAGTCTTTATCTCTGACAAACAAATGTATACTTGAATGTATGAAGCAATCCCCAGGTATAACATGCCACCCTCTAGTCTATGTTGTATTTGTCTTCAGTGATTTATTTCAAGCCTATTAGGTTACTGGCTGTTAACATGAAATATTTTTGAAAATTAACAAAGGTTTTCTTTTGTCATAAATGGGGGAAAYGTGTCTATTAATTTTTCTTTGGTCATAAATGGGGGAAACGTGTCTGTTAATTTTTCTTTGTTTATCTATGCAATACACAAGACAGAAATACAGGACTGCAGTGGAGAGATTTTGGGGGAATTAGTAGGAAAGATTTAGCCTGTTTAAGCAATATCCTCTGAAAAAAACTTCTAAGTGCAGCAGAGGTTCACCCACTGGGAATATTGATCCAATCTATGTAAATGTGTGTTTTATAACTATTCTGATTTTATAGATAAGATTATCCTTYCTAAAATCTTCCATGTTGTAAGTGCTCCTGGATTTAGGAGTAACTTAAAGACCTCTAATGTAATGTAATGTAATTTTTTCCTTTCAGGGAATATGGAGCCATTGATGATGTAGATATTGATCTACATATCGATGTTAGCTTTCTTGATGTAAGTAATGTAATCACAGAATTACACAATGAACATTAATACCCATTTAATTTCACTGCACATCAGACTCTCTAGACAACTACTGATACTTTCCTTTTTTGAAGTCTTGTTCTTAGCAAGTGGATGCCACATTATTGATTGAYACACAGTGGAAAGGTTTCCTGCTTTCCTTTCCTTTTATGATCACATAGTTAAAATTCTGTGCTAGGTTTTTATTTGCCACATGTTTATTTCCTTCCGAACATGTTTTGTGAATGGTAAATGTTTTAAGAAATATAAATGAAATACTCATTTGGGTTTTTTTTAATGTTMAACTAGACATGAGTCAGGTGAAAGCAGGGAAAGGGACTTTGGGTGGAGTGCTCCTGTGCACTGATTAGAGAGAGTCTTGGCTGGCAGAGGAGGCACGAGACAGTGGTGCTGTTTGTGGTCTGGYAGCACGGCTTCTGTAGCTGTTCTGTTGTCATTAGCATCGCACTTCCTCATCTCATCTGTGCAGCAACTTCCTGGCTGCTATAGAAAGGACAAAGAAGAGAAAATTTAAGGGCATCTTTACCCTCTGCACAKATACATCTTATTTTCAGGTCAACACAGCACATAAGACAGTTATTGAGCCGGACCAACATTTTAAAAAAATCTGATCATGCCTTGAATTCTTTTGACCAGTTTTAAGGAGAAAGTTTTCTTTGCCCATATAGTTATGGAGCTAAGTTCTATTCTGTCTTTTTTGCTCCTTTGCTTCTCCACTTTGAAGCAATACCTGTTGGTAGATGAGAATGTTTCTGCCTGTACTGTACATGCAGTGTTGTGTATAAACCTCTGCTTGGTTTGAATGAGCTCACTCAAGACCTAYAACTAGTCTGACAATGCTGCTCTTGGGGAAACTGATGTGCAATAATTTCTCTTAAGTCTAAAGTGTAATGTGGGAGTAGATCCTAAACAATTGGGTAGGTGGATGGATGGTATTTGTAGCAAGCCTGAGGTAGATTGGGAAAAAGGAGCAGTTCCTCACGATGGCTAATGTTTGTTGTTTTCTGTTTGTCTTAAACTAGGAGGAGATTGCTGTGGCTTGGGATGTAATTCGCACAGAGCCTATAATAGTGCGACTGCACTGTTCRCTTACACAGTACCTAAATGGTCCAGGTTGGTCAATTGTGTGCTCTCCTTGTGCCTYGTGTGGTGTCCAGTCTGAGCCATGGGACACATACTCATTCTCTCCCAAATCTTTGACCCCACATGTGTTTAGTTCTTTTGCTGAGAGGAGTCCTATTGATTTGGAATTAACCTTACATGTATTTGCATGGCTAGCCCCTTCCTGGTGACAKGGGCATCTAATTTAAAACTTCCATAGGTTGATTTTTGGATGCCCTGATGCCCTTCGAGATGCAACTGCTTCCCCTAGGAATCAGGGTTCAGGAACAAAGATCTAGAGTTTCTAATAAGCAATTTCCTCATTTTGAAAATCAAGCATCATCTGCACAGATATGGCTGGTAATGATGAACACAGACCTGTGCAGCACATTAACATGCCCTTTTTTATGCAGCTTTGAAAAATCAGCCCATGGTAATCACCCTTTCAGCTTCTGGTTTCCATATGAGTATGTGAACTCTGGAAATGTTTAGATTTGAAAGAGTTTTTAAGTGTTCATAAGTTTCCTCRTGACAGAAAAATGGTCAAGCTCATGAAGAATCAACTGATTTTGAAGATTTGGAAGTGTTCGTATGCAAGAGTCGACTTTAGATATATTTTTACAGYGCCAAGTCAGACTCAGTTTGGATAATGACTTGCCCAGCTTTGGAGACTTGCAGTACAGGCTGTCAGTTCAGGCTTTTATCTGTGGGAGAATTCTGCCTCTGGAAAATGAGTAGAGATTTCCAGTCATGTTTAGCAAAATCTGTCCCAATGAGCTATTACTATATGATATGTTGTCTGATGATTCTAACTATAAGCTATATTCTGTTCATTCGAATAATCATTTCATTATAACTATCTTTTTTTTCCTCTTGACTTTGGTCTTTTTGTCTGTGGTTTATGAACTTTAATCATTTCTGTAAATATTCAGATCTTAAAGTATCTATTTGCCATAGCAGGAAGCAGTGTTAGCATTCAGAGCACTTCTGTCAAAATGTAATTTAAAAAATAAAAAAGTGCAGCAAATAAGAGAAGGTGAAGTGTGAAGAGCGGTGTGCAGTGAGAAATGAGAAATAACAGGAATATATCTCCTGCACTGCAGGCAAGGTTAAGGCGGGGAACAGTTCCCAGAGCTGCAGCTGAGCTGCTGTGGGATTCCTGGGTGCTGAGAGAGGCATCTCAGGGCCACAGGCAAGTGCACGTGAAATGTTGGTTTTATGAGCTCAGCTGCTGTTGCAGCCATGCCTCTTTATTTACTAGCAAACCACAGTGACATTCACCATCTTTTGTATTAATTCAGTGTATTCCTCTTCTGCCTCAGATGTGCTTTTTTTGAGACTACCGGGCCAGAATCTGATGCTGTATCTTTTTCTTCTATACTGCATTTTATTGATTGAAAAACAGAAACACAGTACACTTCAAAGCATAGCAGGGGATATGAGTGCCACCCTGCAGCTCTGTAATATACTGATTTTAGATAGTTCTTCTAGTTAATAGCTTGCTTTCAGTATTGTCTGCGTGGGCAGTTTGTCCCTGGTGCCTTAGAAACCTGTCATAGGATGAATCAGCCACTGGAGGTATCGGAATATCTCCTCTGAAAGTAGAGTCTAGACAAAAATTTTGGTCTAGATTTCAGATGATTGCTGGTCTAGGTAGGATGATTCTAATTTAAAGCATTCCCCATCCCATCAGCCCCCTGCAGTATGTCTGAAATTTGACAGTCCAACAATATTGCTACACTTATTATTCATCCGTGTTGAAAAAAATCATCAGTTTGTATTTAAAAGATCATGTTTTATGTTATTTGAATAATACCATTAGAGAAGGGGTAACTGCAGAGCTTTGAACTAAGTTAAAAGTTGCATGGCCAGACTGGATATATTGTATTTTATAATCAAATTGAATCTATTAAAGCAAAATTAAAGTATAAACCTCGATATTCTGGATAAAATCTGACTTTCTGAGTGGCCAGAATAACATCAAAATACTGATTTACCATTCTTAACAAAAATAGACCAAGCCCCAGATTTTTTGTTTTAATTCCTTTTTTATTTTACTTTAGTCTTTATCATTTTATGCAATACAATGTGTGAAGTCTGTTTGTGCTTGTAATATGCACTGGCTGTTGTCCTGCCTTGAGGACCTGAGGCTCTCTCAACAAGTACTGGATTCCATCTGCCACTTCTATCTAGCAAATGTTATTAGAGGATTTTAGTAATGCCACTAGCTAATTTCCATCTTTTACCCTGTACATTTTCAATTTCTGACAGATGAATATGAATATACCGGTGTTAGGATGGGAACATTTCAGGGTAATTCTTGGCCAGTGGAATTCACATATCAGGCACATAGATGATGGTTTTGGATCTTGTATTAAAACACCCTCAGAAAGTTTCAGTCTGGGCTTTCTTGGTCTCCAAAGGGACTCTACTGTGTATAGACTACTTACTTGGAAAAAAAGTTTAAGATCTAAGGGGAGATGAATTGTCAGTCCAGATACATTTAAGCTGATTTGGCTTGCTATTTGCGTAGTATGTTTATAAAAAAAAAAAGATAGATTTTTGTGAAAAAAGGGTAGGAAGAGATAYATTTGGAAGAATTCCATTTGTAAAATTGTAGATTATATTGGCTGATATTCCAAAATGGACCATGCATTACTTARTATGCTCAAATGAGATGTCTGCTTTTGCCATTGTTTCAATTTTCTGTTATTCWATTGTCTATAATCAAGCTCCACATAGAACAGGATGCTTAAATAAGACTTACATGGTCACAAGTTTGTCATTACTGCTGTAAGGTCATATATCAACAAAATATCCTTTTTCCCTAGTGCCAACTGTGGATGTATTTCAGATCTCTACAAAGGAAAGATTTGGGCTAGGACATCAGCTGAAAAAGTAAGTCTGGAAAAGTGAAAACTCTTGGTTTTAGGCACTCTTTTTACAGTGTGTAAAAACATTACTCTCTTTTTAGTTTCTGGACCATGTCAGGTAGCATAAAATTCATGTTGTCAGGTTTGTTGTTGGATCAAARTGTTTTAAAGTTGTTTTTCTTTAAAAAAAAAATCAATATTTGCCTTTTTTAATTTGAGTCTTGACAGCTGTTGAGAGAACCTGATCTGTATTACTTGCCAGGGTTTTCTGTCACTTTGGTGCCTTTTAGGAAGTAAGCTATAAAAGTTACAAAGACCATGTCTAGTAGTTTTCCATTTCATGTTTCTGCTTAGATGGTGAGGCCTCTGCAAAGGAGTCTTTTTGAGCTTCATGCATGCCCCAAGGGGGCTATGCTTCCATGGTCCCCTCTAGGATATACAACAGTAATTAGGCCCTCCATGTTTTTGAAGATGAGATGGAAGAATAGTCAAAAAAATTGGCAGTTTCATGTGGCCATAGTAAATTCATTTTAATTCAATTTTTCTGAGTCATCCTTTTACATGTACTTTTGTACATGTAATAAAATTCTAAGTATATAGGCTTTTTAGTGTCTGACCATTACAACATTAAGAAACACCTAAGGAAAAAAAATGCTGTTTATTGTTTTAAAAAATTCATTGCAACATTTTCATCATCTTACAAAAGAAACAAATTATTAAAATCTGTATGGTATATAACTTTGAAGAAAAAAAAATAAATAAATGCTTCCCTGAAATTAATAGTCTCGTGAAATGTTTCACTATTTATACTGTCTGTGATTTGTGCACCAGGTAATGACTGAAGGTTCCCATGGGACATTTTCAAGAGCATGGCTGCATAGCTCACAACTGAGCAGAAGTCAGAATACCATGAACCCAATGGTTTCTCATGGCTGTGGCAAAGGGATATATCTTGTTCATAATGAATTCATCTTTGACTTTTATCACATCTAAGACCCCCATTGCCAGTTGAGAGTCATAGAATAACTGCTTAGCCATGCAGATGCAATATCCTACAGTCAGGTGAGAGACAGACCCTGTAGCTGGATTTGATAGTTGGTATGTAGTCTGCACAAATTTTGCAGTTGCAGTGGTTGTTAACACAGACTGTATTCTCATTAAGAGTTCCATGTTAAATTAGTTCTCTGTGAATAAAAAAGCATTCTTTGAGGAGCTGAGGCAGCCAGTCATCAATCCACTAACATGACAGAAAACATCACCTGCAGAGTGAGAACATTGCGTTGTCACCTACATGACTGCTGAGGCCATAGTACTAAAATAAGTGTGTCCTGGCTGGGATAAGAAAACCTTTTTTTTACTTTCTTAATTTGCAGGATCATGCAGACATTTGTTACACAGCAGTGGAAGAACAGTAAAGAGAAATCTAATTGTACGCACAATAAGAAGGTGTCTGACAAAAAGGTGAAATCCCCTCTGCACATCTTTTCTACATTGCGCAGGTAATAGCAAGGAAAATGAGCTGTTATCACCATGAACTGTTCAAAACCCACAGCAGACTGCACAAGGTGAAATCTTGACTTTTCTCCACAGAGAAGTGCTCTATTTATATCTTACCTCATGGGTTTCCAGTCCTTGCATTGCATGACATCAGGAGTGAACTAAGTATTGCTGCAGCTTCTAAGATTATTAGAGATTATTAGAGTATTTCATTGCCCTGCTCTCTGAAAAAGTCATGTTTCATCTAGSACTGGAAATAATCAATTTTATTTTAACTTGTGTTTGTATCTTTATTTTATCTTTACTTGAATTGCAAAAATAAAAATCTAATTAAATATATGTGCAGGTAATATATGTGTATAGCATATGTTATGTATATTTTAAAAATCCGTGTTTGTCTAGCTCTTCTTTCTACAGCAGTTTTATGTATTTAATTTTTTTAAAACTGGAATGGTCATAAATGAAAGAATGATTTTTAAAGATTCTGGGCACCCTCCCCTCTCCATTATTTGACGACATTAATGTTTTCCACTTCTGAAATACAGGCACCAAATTTCAAAGAACAAAGGCATTAAAAAGCATAATAAATAATTTGTGAATAGTTCATTTGAATTTAAGTGTATGTGGAATCAGGCTCTGATTTTACCTATTGTAGGATTGCGACTATTTACTCTAGTGTGTTTTCCTGTTTCTGGAGGGTTGACAGAGGGTTGGTCCAGTTTCTGAATTTGAATTGAATGCTTCTTTGAATATTATTTCTTTTTCATAAATTTTAAATTCTAAATTCAAGGTATGAAACAGACACAGAATAGAGCAATCACTCACATTGAAAAAGGGAGGAATGTCAGAGATGACAGAAGATTGTCTGTCTATTGAAAGGTAGAGAAGGGAAGATGGTGTTTTGAGTACATGCCTTTTCCATTCCCTATCGTATCCCACGCCACTTCCAAGCACAGGCTGTAGCTTGGGGCTTGGTTTTATTTAGAAAGGGCATGAAAAGCCATCTCATTCTTTTTCCTCTTGATTTGGCAGCCAGAATCCAGAGATAGCTCAGCTGAAAAACAGGGACCCYCTCTGTCCCCAGGACACCGTCCCCACCTCCTGTCTGCAGGAGGCTGATAGTGACCCAGCTGCTGCAGTGAATCAGCAGCCTCCACGTGCATCCTCCACTGTCAACACTTGCTAACATGGTGGGGGCACCTGCCAGCCTCTCCCCTTGGGTTTTTATTTCTCTATTTGATGCAAACAACAAMAAAAAAATACTCCAAAGATTAGTGTTGCTTGTAAAACACAGGAAAATGATTCAGCATACCTGTTACATGTTCTGACTTTGCAAGGACAGATGAAGAGGAACCTTACAGAAATATGACAGCTTGTGTGAATGTTGTTTCATAAAAAACCTTCTGTTCTTTATTTTCTGCTTCCATAATTTAGGTCTCTCGCATTCGCATTTCTGGTGTTATTGTGCTAGAACTCGTCTAAAACCAGAAAGAAGGGTATAAACTTACCTTTCACAAAGTGCCCAGGTTATTGTGAAGTTTTTAAAATAATGTCCTTTTCATCTGAATTAAATTTGGTGTAATGTCTCCCAAGTTTCACTGCTTATTGAATCTTCTATTGGATCTGAACATAGAATTTGTTATTCTGTGTCCAGAAGACAATAACTTTCATTGGATCATGCCATGATGATTACATAGAAAAAATAGATTTTGATGAGGAAAATATATTATARTATGTGGGTTTGAAGATAATTTCTTGAATAACTCATTTGTTTCACGATATAGAGACCTTCACAAAAAGCTGTAAGGTCACAGCTCTAACTTCAGCTTCAGTAGTTAATTGTCCTTTTGATTGATGAGCTTGTGTGTAAATAGGAATAAGTTGTTTTGGTACTGAAAATACCTTTCATACAATTGTTAATGTTTTAAAAGTGTGGGTTGTCTTTATCACTAGTGAAAAAAAAACATAAGGTGATACTTAAAAGTGTTCACATCTGTGTCATTTTGGTTGATTTGCCCAAGATTTTGATTGTTCTTGAACTTCGCCATCTTCTTTATTCTAAGGTCGCCAAGTTATCCTCCACCAGGCTGTGGTAAAAATAAATCRAAGCTGAAGTCAGAACACGATGGCATCTCCAAGACACACAAACTACTGAGAAGGACTTGCTCTAGCACAGTGAAGGCGGAGGATGTGTGTGCCACAAAATCTCACAGAACCTTTGGCCGCTCGTTGTCGAGTGACCCTAGGGCTGAACAGACAATGGCTATTAGATCGCACAAACTGCTGAATCGTGCTTGCTCTGCGGCTCTCAAGCAGGAGGAGTGCATCGCTTTAAAGCCCCATAAGGTGTTAAATAGGTCGTGCTCTGGGGATCCTCGATGTGAGCACAACAGCACCTTGAAGCCCCACAAACTTTTAAGCAGATCCTACTCCAGTAACCTTAGAATGGAAGAATTGGATGGATTGAAGAATCACAAGTTGCTCAGCAAGACTTACTCCAATGCCCCTAGATCATCCAAAATGGAGCCTTTCAAGGAGTCCACCATGGCAGAGAGCAGGAGGCTCTCTCTTACCTCAGGGCTTATTGGTATCTTAACACCATCCTCATCATCACCTTCACAAGCTGCTGTGCGTAATATTTTTTGTATTCTGCTTGTTTTCCTCCTCCTATTTTCCAAATGTGCTGTTACACTTTTTATGCAAGACGTTAATACTTAGGATATATGTTAGTGATTATCTTGGATATACTGGAAGACAAGAGCAATGAAGTCAGCTTTCTAAGGAGGATTCAAACAGCTGTGCGTGCACATATACTTAAGTTCTAAATTTGGAATTTGCTGAGGTCAGGGCAGAGATTTTATATGTCATGTTGAATGCGGCTCAATGCACAGCTGCTGGCCATGGGAAAAGTTCAGTCACCCACTTCCTTCCCTGCACAGTTCSTGCAGGAAAAAGGGAGAGTGTGCCCTTCTGTGCTGCAAAATTAAGTAGGTTGCACTGGACTTTTCTCATTTCTGTGTTTGCTTCATGGGGGAAGCAAGTATCCATTAGTTTGAGTGCTGTGTCACCTCTTCTGGTCTTTGCATCTGCCATTATCATCATCATCATACAGGAAGGAATGAAGTCACGGTTCTGCTCATSTCTTGCACATTTGTGATTTGTGAGGGGTTAAACCTTCAAATGTGCTGGGGGAAGTTGGGAGTCAGGGAACGAATTGGGCCCAGWCTGCTCTCTTACTTTCCCCAGGGACATGATAGATAAGGGAAGGCAAAGGGTAGCACATATTCTTGCATTTAAGAAAGAACTCTTAAAATAATTTCTTCTGCCTATGCCTCTTAAAAGGTGACTTTTTTACTTTAGCAGAAAGAGTGGGTTTGTTTGCAGTTGTTCAAGACACGAGCCTATTTTCTGTCTTTGAACTGGGGAGAAGTGTTTAGAAAATAGTTCTTCATTCAGATGCCATACATGTGTTTAAAGTAGTGTATTCTAAAATAATGAAATTACATTGAATGTGCCATGTTTCATGGTAATTTTGTTTAGTAAGCTTTAAGCTATACTCATCAAATCTAAAAGCAGGGATACAATATTGTAAGACCATTTATATAAATGCTGTGTGGTTGATTTATGTGATGTGCACAGCAAAATTAATTTGAGCTATCAGACTTTCTACTTGTTGCAGTTTAGAGATGCCCTTTTTTTCTGATTCAGCAGAGAATGTCTTAGCAGCGCAAGACTTTTGGAAAAGTCCCTTTGATTTTTATAACATAATGAAGAGCTGACTAAGTTTCATACTGATGTTGTCAGCTGATAGGGAAGAAAGGCAAGCTTTGCTTGGCAGCCTGTAAAAACTACCCATAATTTATTGCTTGAATGCAMTTACTTTGAGGAAAGATCATCACATACATGGTCAGATGCAGTTTGACTGATGTTAGTGGAAGGGCATCAAGAGTGTATTTCAGATTTTATATGCAGGCACCAGATATATGGATAGCCTCGGTGCCTAACTGCAATTTGAAGTCAGTGGAATGGAGAAGTGATGAATCAAGACACTGAATTCTCTTCAACTCTGAGCTATAATATTAGAGTCTTATATCTGACTACAAGTAGGACTGTTGCCCAGAAGAATGGAAAAGCAGCTAAGCAGTTAAACAGTAGAGATATGAAAGGAAGCAACTCTATTAAAAAAAAAAAAAAAAAAAAACCCAAACAAACAAAACACTAAAAATGGAGCTTGTCGCTGTTGGCCAAACAGTAACACAAAATAACAGACACAAAGACACACAGAAAAAAGAAGGAGAGAAAGAGGGTGAAAAAGAGAAAGAGAGAGAGTACTTTATTGTGGGACAAGCTTCTTTATCCACTTTAGGAACCAGTGTATACATTTGTGTCAAACATACATTGGTTAAGAGACAGCTGTTTAATTAATTATTAGTATATGATTGGTAGGTTTGCAAAAGCTACAGTATTAGTAATGTTTATAAATGTGAACCACCTGCGTTATCAATTCTACATTCCAATCTCCTTTTCTCAAAAGTAGCCAAGGATGTGGTATTCCTCCTCCAWGCAGGCTGTTAACACYCCCTTYCTTTTCCCAGGACTCAGTCATACACGATAATTGGCTGAGTTTCAGATTCAGGACTTGTGGGGCCACTTTTTTCCCCCACAGGAGCTGATTTGATTGAAATAGATGTCAACCTGGAGGGGATTCTGAACCTTACTGGCTTTTGTAATARGCATTCCTTTTAATTTATGTTGTTGTGTGCTGAAAGAATTTGAGTGATATCTGAGCATAAAGATCTGTTAGTGTGCTGCTTGCAGAAGAGAGGCCTTAGCACACATAAATAAAACTGTTTTCAGCCTTACTGAGAGTTACAGTAGTCTTTCAAGCCTTAAAATACAGCCCATATTGGAATAGACAATACGCACTGAAAACCTAATGGAAGTTATTGAATGTCAGTTTGTTAGGATGGAGTGAGGGCACTGGTGTTTCCATTTGAGATGTTTCTCGGATGGTGAGTACAAAACTTCACCTGATTTGAGAACTAAAAGGAAGTACTAAAATCCTACCCCACACTCAGTAACAGTAAAAGGATTGATTATTTGTTATGGCTGGTTCACGCAAATAAGAGATTTTTTTAGATGAAAGTTGTTTGATTAACATATTTACATACAAAAATTTACAAATGCTTTACCATTTCCTTATAATTAGTCTGCCAACACTGAAGTTGCCTCAACTTTTCCCTTGCAGCAAAATTATGGTGCAAAATGCATTCCGGTGCGAGACCGTGGCTTTCTTGTGCAGGTAGGATGTCACATCTTACTCATTTATGAAACCCTGTGAAACATGAGCTGACTGTTAATTATTTTTAAGCAGATGTTGTTATTCTCATTTTCATTGTTCTCAGACTATTGAATTTGCTGAGCAGCGGATACCAGTACTGAATGAATATTGTGTAGTTTGTGATGAACCTCATGTGTTCCAGAATGGGCCTATGCTGAGGGTAAGTGGTGTGCTGGTAAAGCATTTTATAGTGCCTTAAATAGCGGTGGACCATACAAACCTTTTGGAAAACTGTTGAATTATTTCAGATATGTTTCATTCTAATATTCTTTTGAGATGCAAAAATGTAAAGCATATTAATTAGATTTTGCTGTAAATTTGAAAAAAAGGGTAAATCTTACAAGCAAGGGAGATAGAAATTGGGCTTGTGTAGTAACACAGAAATGTAAAGGGTACATTTTTGTTCCGAAYGTGTAAGTGCTGCAGTATTCACAGCCAGATAACATAGAGACGTGCTTTCCCAGTCCTTTGGCATTCTTCTGAAAGCTTAAGACACCTCATCCTTGAGCTTTTATTGAGCCATGGCCACAGTATCTGCACATAACAATATTAATGCCACCACTCTGCCAAGTTCTTCTGTGTGTTTTGCTCTCAGGCTGCTGGAATGAACCATCCTCAAATGTGATAAAAAGGTGGCATTAGGGGRTGCTCCGAGAGGTGTCTGATCTAGCAGTGGCCTGCTCCAGGGGCATGGCTATGGTCCAGGATGCCCAAAGTATGGCCAGTCAGGCAGCTCTTCCTTTCGTTCCTGTATGACTGAGAACAGAATTTTGTCTGCTGATCACTGTGGCCTCTCTCGTGCTGCTGGTGAATGCGTACGGGGGAAAAGAGGAAGATTAGTCATGAGAGACTCACTCTGCCTGGAGCAGCTGGATCAGTGCAGCTTTGTGAAAGAGTTTATTAAGAGAATACCGTTCTTAGCTTTAGGAGTCATCTTGCAGTTTAGAATGCTCTTGTTTCACCTGCCCTTCATCCAATGGAAACATGAGTAACCTTAAAAGATTAAAGCCGTGGAAAACTAACTCCAGTGTGAATAGTCTGATACCTAGCAATTTCTCCACAGTGAGGCAAGCAACTGCACATAAACTGAAGCAGAGCTTGTCTGTTATAGCTCCATGGAACTAAATTCATGAGCATTATCACTCTGCCTGGTAGCAGAAGTCACCCCAGTGCCATTCCCCATGACACTGACTGGCGCAAGGGTCAGGTGTTCTGACTGCAGGCAGGATGTGCAAATAGGCTGCTAACAGGATTTTAAAAAGCATATGCATATTCAGTTAACACTCTTTTAAGTCATGGTTAAACCCCTGTAGTTTTGGATATCCAGTCAGGTGTTATTTCTRTCTGTTCCAGCTCATATCTGTCTTATAAAAGCAGATTTTTCTGACAGATTTATCAGCAGCCAAAACTGATTAGAAGCTTGTAAAAAAGGCATCAGTTCCTTATTGTTTATTCTTTGAATGCCCTACTATGTATATTACCTGTGACAGAATAAGGCAAAGTCAGTAATGTTTGGATTGTGAGTAAAGTTTGAAAATCATAATTATTTAAGTTATTGGGTTTCTCTATTATCCATAGGTCAAARCAAACAGTAGGATTTATTCTATTTAAAGAAAAAAAACAAAACCAGAATGAAAAGTTAGCTGCTCTAAATAAAAAATTCTTAATTCTTTCTTTCCCACCATAAAGATAAAAATCTCTCAGAATTACTCTTTTGCGTCTTCAATTTAAAGAAGGGTCATTATATAGCTATCTKTTTAAGAGTTTGTCAGCACTTCACAACAGAAGAAACTGCAACCATATTTGCCCCTGAACATATTCAGCCTTTGCAGGAGCATAACCTGACAAGCTTTGCAGAAATGGAAGACTGTCATTATATAASCTAGGAGAAATAAGATAGCAGGAAGAAATCTAGCATGCTCTGTGTATGCTTGAATGACTCAATGAGCAATATAGAGCCATTAATGAATCTGCAGTTCTGTAGGTGAGAAAGGATCTCAGTTTGAATTGAGCATTAGCTTGCCCTAGAATGTGTTAAGGAAATTTATGCTTCACTCTGCTAAGAGCTGTGGCCAGGGACACCTTAAAGTAGCCAGTTTGTGGGGTTTATTTACATGCTTCAGCTGCACTCACACATACACACACACATACATATGTATACATATAATGTATGTGAAGAGAAAGAGCATTTTTAGTACTGCTGCAAAAGCAGATCGCATAAATAGAAAACTTTTATTTTGAGAATGCAGCAGGCTTTCATTTGGGGCAAGGCTATGTGCAGTGTAGCCTTACTGAGAATCCACAGCCTTTGCAGAGTTCTCTCATTCATACCACAGGAACTTTGCCAGACTCTGTAATGATGGGTGCCTTGCTGTGTGTGCTTCTCAAGGTTGTCCAGATCTTGTTTTTTAGAGATGCCTGCATCCCAAAGGCATTACATACAGAGGCTCTTTCTGTAACAGTTTGTGCCACAAAAGGTGCCACAGACTAAATAGCTCCGGGTGGTTCACCAGTTTCTCCCTTTGAAGTTTAGTTCCTCCTCACAGATGCATGCAGGCTTATATCTGGGTTTGGGTACCCTTAATGGTGGTTCCACTTCTACATTTTGGATGCGGTTTTTTCAATAGCAGAGAAAGCCTATGAATTTATAAAGGCATAATAAAGTTACTGCTTAAAAATTTTCTTGAATATGTATATAGGCCTGATTTTCTGATATTTTATGGGAGTTTTATGCACTTACAAAGAAACCAYGGAGGAATTTGATTCTCTAAAGCTTCTGTATGTCAGCCTGGTGCCTTACCTGAGCTATAGTGTAGTTTAATTAGTTGTCTTAAATGTCTAAAATTCAACAAATGACATCACAAAACAATTTCAGTCTTTTAATACTGTGAAGTGTTATACCTACTTATAAACTCTCATGCGGTACGTAGTTTTTTATGTTGGTTATTACTGACTTGCTCTATTCAGATATCTCATCCTCATGACAGCTGAAGAAACAGTGTGAAACTGAGAGATAGTTTTTTTTTTATTTCTGCAGGCTATTATTTTGTCTTCAAGTATCTTTAAATCAATCTCTCTCAGTAAGCATTCTTCTCAGTGTTGTGTTTCATTTCCCTAAATAATTTTTTTCTGGGGGAGTAGTCTGACTTTAATATCTATTTCAGTTTAAGTTACTTTTTAAAAACCTTGACATCTTTCCCGTAAAATAACAACCACTTGATGACAACAAGATGTCTYATTTTGCATGTCCTAATTTAGGGACTAGATCCACATGGCATATAATTTTGTGGAAGATTCTGTTGCAGGACAGCTGCATGACACAATTGCATCTGTTTGAGTTGAGTCTTTTACAGTGGACATCCGTCTTGCTCCAGAGCCCTCAATAATTATCTAATCATGCAGATGTTCTCTGCTGGTTCAGGGATCCTCTTGTACATTGAAATCTTTGAGTGTTGTTMGGTCAACACCAAAAGGATCAATCTTGGTCCTTTTTGAGAATAAATAAAGAGGCTGCTTTATTGACTGSCTGAAGATGAAGTAAGAAATGCTTAGGGGCAAAGTGAATATTCCTTGAGAATAACCAGTTTTCTTTTGAGTTCCAAAATTCTCTGAAATACAGAAGACCAGAGTTAAATACACAGTTCCTGTGTGTGTACTCCACAAGTCTGTGTGCATAGAAAACAAAACACATTAGGTAGATGGGGTGACTTTAGTACATGCCCAAACCTAATGCCTTCACAAGGAACTGCATCTGTGTTACTGTGAAGKGAAGAACAAAGATTCTCTGGAATGGAAGTAGTTTTGGAAAAGTGCTATAACACATCATGAAGTTGTAACACTCTTCTTTACAGAGGCCAACTGTCCATTGCTTCATTCCATCTTCTTAAAAAAAAAAAAAAAAACCAAAAAAACCCAGTAGTAAAGTAGGCAATTTTTTCCTGTAAGTATTCACATCTTTCCCAGACAAGATGAGGACAAATGAAAGTTCTCATCATAGTACGTTTCTTCTGTATTTATTTCAAAAGCATGGTGAGATCTAAGGATTAATTGGAGTGCACCAGTAGTTAYAAAAACCATATTGGATGTGTAGAGATACACACTTGTATAGAGTACCACCAAAATCAGCAGTTCCCTGAAATCACTGCATGGAATGATTTGCAGTTGCTCTGAGAAGCAGAGGAAATACAAAATGAATACATGGATTCTAAGAATAAAAGGTATTTAACCTCTTACATAACATGGACCAATACTATTTCATGCATTCATTTCTAATGATGATCAGAATCCTGCATATTTCACTTCTCACAGAAAGATTAAGAAGCAGCCTTGAAGTCTTTGGCAGGGGTTGGGACTGCAGCCTGTACATCCAAAGAGCTCCCTTAACCCATATAAAGAATCACAGTGCGTCTTCCTGGAAGGAAACCTGTGCTACGCAGCTCTCAGGAGCTCTGCCCTCCTCCGAAGTAGCTCCCTGCTCTGTTATGAAAAATAGGAAAGGGAAAGGTCAAGCACAGCTTTTATGAAGGAGACACACAGAAGGCAGACATGGCAAATCTACTGGAAAAAAAATAAGGGTCTGGTCATTTGAATTATTAGCCCTGTGACTGTCTTTGAATTTGTTTTCATCAGAGAATATGTTTAGATGACTGAGAATGGACAATTATTTGTTTGTAATTAATGGCTGGGTTCTGATTGTTTCAATAACATATTTTGAAATGCTTTTTTTCCCCCTAACATTTTCTATCAGTTAACATATCATTCACATCTGTGCTGTTGAAATAGTTACATAGATTATCCTGATTTCTTTCAAACTACAATATAACATTGAATATCAGAAATTAACTTAGGGAATTCTAATGACTTCCACAAAACCCATTCTGAAGTACTGAAATATTCATGCACGGGGTATGTGTCTCTAGTGAAAAATTCCTGAAACTAAAATTTATTTCATCCACTGCTTTGTACTGGAATTTTAAGATCTCCAAGGACAGAGATTGCAGTGTCTCTCTGAGCAACCTGGTACAATGCTTGATAAAACATCAGGAAAAACTTATTTTAGCATTATCTAAAATTCTGGATAAAGTTTAGATAAAGGTAGYTAGATAAAGTTAGGGAGTAAAAGTACTGACTGACCTCTAAATGTTCTTTTCAACCATCTGG